GACCATAGGTCAGTCGTAGTTGCGAAATACTCGACTGCTGTTATTTCCCTCTCTATTTCCCCCTGACATTTTTCATACAGTGCAGGTAATGCCACTTTGGAGAAATAATTGCGCGAGGGGATCACATATTTCTTGTCCAGTATTTTGTCCATGCTTTTGAAGCCTTCGTTGCTCACAGTATTTATTGGACACGTCTTTGGCCAAATAAAACGTTATTGCATCCGTTATTTCAGCGTGTCTTTGAGAGGTGGATGGATATGGTGTCGCCCGGTGCAGGGTTGCTGTTATGGTTGCCTGGGTTGGCGCTGAACACAGACGGGGATTTGGTGGACCAGCGTTAGCTTTGGCCTTCATGCATTCATCATATTTGGGTTTGTGGTGTTTTTTCAGGTGGTTGAATAAGTTTGTTGTGTTGCCCTGTGGCGCAGACACAACGCCACACCTCCACACAATGGATGTTGAGCCCTTACGAGGCACAAGCAGCTCCTCACCTCTAGATGCTGCTCCCGACATTGTGTCTCACACCCGCTCTCACACTGTTGAATCATTTGAGGCTGCCGCTGCTGCTGGGTATGCTCGCTTGCTGTTTAGGCAGCTTAATGAAGCCCTAACCTTTCGGTCGCCCCCTGGTGGTTGGCTGACTATTGGGTTGAGAAAGTGCTTGATTTGATATGCAACAGAGCCCACTTTTTAAATGTTAAAATCGCCGACGATCATCTTAATTTAATCGTGGCAGCCAAAATCGTGATCGTGATTAAAATTCGATTAATTGTGCAGCCCTACTTTACAGTTATACAGGAAGTGAACACCAACCTCCTAGGTGAAAGTCTGAGATTGTTGGACCCATCCAGCACCCCTCCCACCCACTTTACTCAGACTTTTCGCCCCTTTAATTGACATTGTTGTATGGCTACGTTTCCCCCTGAGGCTGACTAACGCCATAACACACTGACAGCGCCTGGCTGCGCATTATGCCACTTGAAAGGATGGCTTTTTCTGTTGGTGTCTGATGCAGAAGACACTGCCTAAGCTCTGGTAGTCTATGACTTTAGATTGAGATCGGGTTGTGCTACAAGCAGAACTGGACTTGTCCCAAACTCTTGTTAAAAAAATATCCACTTCTGTCGCTACAGGCACAGCTGGACTTGTCCTGAACTCTCATCAAAAAATGCCCATTTTTGTCACTACAAACACAGCTATACATGTCCTGAACTCTCATTAAAGAACACCCACTTCTTCTGATCTTGAACAGTAGTCTGCTGCTGTCTCCATCTTATAGCAGCCCTCTTGCCAAGGTGTCACATCATCCACCATCCTCTTCTCCTCATGATGAGAAACTCTGCCTATAAACATGTAATCTGAGCTACATCATACATATGAAATGTACAAACATAAAATATCTATAGTTTGCAGTAACGTACAATGCTAACATAATATCCTGGTGGGCTAGTATTTGGTCATAAAGGCTACAAAGAGGATAACGGTGTAGCAAACTGTCAGGTTCATTGTCTGGAAGGCTAATGTGACTGTACCTTTAGCCTCAGAGAGACCACTGCTTATTGTTGACTCCTTAAATTGGAAGTTTACCTCCAAGAAGTTGGTTAATATGAAAAATTCTAAATTCTGGCTCATTTCTCAGATGCTATTGGAGGTACAGAAGAGGCTATACGTCTCCGTGTCTTTGTCCATCTCACGCTGCTGCTTGGAAAAACACGTAAGAAACAAGACCTCACTCTGGCCTGATACGGAAAGTCAAGTATTTGTAGGCTGCTAACTGAGTCAAGCTTTACTTTAAGAACTGCCCTTTGAAATTCCATAACACTTGTGATCTGTCACAGGACCTATGCCCCTTACCCAGAAATCCCTGCTCTGTCTCAGCCCACACTGAACCATAATTACCTAGGGCTTACTGTTATATAATGCTGGTACAATCCTTCAGCTGCACACCCTACAACACTGGACTCCCACTGCATTGTAGTGCACGATTACACAGCTCACCGCCTTGGTTTGTGTGTACATGCATGTAGGATGTCTGTGTTGGTTGAGTCTGTAGGAAAGGAAGGAAGGAAGAGAGAAAGAAAGGAGTTTGTTAAAGACGGGAGAATGCAGTGTTATGCAATCTAAGCCTGCTGTGCATTATTCCCGGTATAAAGTAGCTGTAGTGTCAGTGATTTGAGGCAAAGAGCTTTACTGGGCCTGCTTGCCTCAGCTAAGTCTCATACTGACAAAAACAAGGGTGCAGCGGCGGCATGCATTTTGTGCATTTGTTGTGTGTCGAGGCAAAGACACACTGAATAGAAAGAATTTCACTGGCTTTAGAACGGCAAGAAAGCCTTTCTTTTTTCCCTATCCTGTTTGTAGTTCACATTTTCTCAACCAACCAGGGTCTATTTCTCCTTCAGATGTTTTCACTCTTGCAATGCTGTAGATCATCAGCAGTTCTTTACAACCAGGAATCTGATGTAGAGGTGGGTGTGTGCAGTGTTCCAGAGGGGGCGGGGGTGGGTGGTCCAGCGCCGGAGGTGACAGTTGAGCTGAAGCACATGATTTTTTCATCCTTGTGATTATTCTTCCACGGTCTGATCCCTTTGCCACTCTCACTGCTCTGCTCCTGTACTCCACACTGCTAGTTTTTATATTCCCTTTCATATATAACAAATGTCACCTCGGCCTCTTGGATTGTTTTATTTCGCCCTGGTATGCAATGAGCATTTGTTCCTCACTTCCTTATCAGCATCTTTTCTATGATGGAAACATCCAGCTCTGAAGGTATGCGTCATTAGCTGCTCTGTGTCATTCTAATGGTGCAGTCATACATCAAGAGTCCTGGGAACTGCAAAGGAAGCAGGGAACAAATGCTCCTATTGAACCAAAGAGTCACATGGTGAAACATTCAGTCCCCCTGTGGCAAGTTGAAAGAAATCCCATGATCATTTTTCTGTTTGTAGTGAACAGACAGTCTGTGTGTGTGTGCGCGTGAGACAGAGAGAGTTACAGTAGTAAGGCAGCTGCACTGCATGGCCGGTCACATCTGACAGCCCATCCATCTCAAACTCCACCCCTCCTCTCCCGCAGCTCCTGATTCCCCCTGAGGGCCGATGGTGGTGTCACTCGGCTCTCAGCAGCGTACAGCCACATCATTGTCAGGTATTACTGCTTTTATTTACCGAGCCAATCGCTCTCCTCTGCCGGCCTCGTGGCCACAGCAGTCCATCAAGCATAAATCATTTATGAGTGAGATCACTGCACCACAGCAGCCACCTCCCCCGCCATGCATCCCCACTCCCCTCGCCGCCCTCACACACGTATCTGTAAACACAGAGCCGTGAAGTAGAAAATAAATCCAGACTGCTCATTTATGAAACCACCTCTTTCCACAACGCACGCTGTCAACATCGCCACGTTACGTCATACTGCAGGAGGCCAGCCCAGTCGCCAGAGTACAATATTGTTATTGTTTCGTTTTTGCGTTTCATACGTATCATATCAATGTTTCTAAAGTGACGTAGTTGTGATGACATGTATATGAACTGGCTTTGTTTTTGGCAAGACATTGGTGGCATTTCCAGTGATGATCATACCACCAAAAGCAGGTATTATGAGCCAAAACATGATCTTTTCCCAACCTTAATCAATTAGTCAATATCAAGTGTTTTTTGTGCCTAACATAACCATACATTAACCATAGCTATAGTTTCAGCATATCCGCTACATAAAAACATACAAATGTTACATATCTGTGGTTTGCAGCGACGTACAACGCTAGCGTTTATTCTGGTGATTGGGTTGCAGGAGCTTTACAAAAACGTAACATGAACACATCATTTCAATCAAGTCGTTGCACTCCTTCACTCTCATCTTCAGGTTCCTCTGATCCCAGCACTGCAATTACATATTGACCCTTGTCTGACCACCTGCTCCGTAAGTGTCTGATCAGATTGTGTATTCCCAGGCCGTTCTCCCATTCCCATTCCCAAAGCCATTAAGGCACTTCACTCTGGGCTAAATGCAAAGATGACCTCCAGCCATGCTCTCGATTTAGGCCAGTCATAACAGGGCTTTCAGTTCTCTCCGCAGAGCTCATTGCTCTTCCTTTACGTCTGTGCACATTAAGAAACACTCACATGCACCTTCACATGGAAAGTAGTAGGAAAAAATACCAGATCGACACTCAAACACAAACAAACAGCTCTTATCTTGTGAGGTCGTGTGTTCAGTTAGAAAGCAAGACAGTGTCTCTCTGAGAGCAGGTAGCAGTTAGCCTGTCTTCCCTGTTTCTATATAAAGACCTTCTTCCTGTAGCTTAGTGGGACTCTAAGAAGTAGTTGTTATCCCTTCACTGTGATTAAACCCCATGTACATCAACAGCGGTGCACCACCATCAAGGCTTTCTGGGTAATTTAGTTAAAAAGAAAAAAAGGCCTGCGGCTGTTTTTTATTACGTTGGACAGTTGGATTTTTACAGTAGTTGCTAATGAGGCTCAGTTCAAGGCTGGACCAAGGAGGAAAAGTATAAACTGAACATGAGTTATAATAATGTGAATCCTTCAGGGACAGTTTTCAATAACATAGCTTGGAGAAAAGTATGTAACAGCCATGCAGCATTATATGCACTGTACGTAACATAAAGTACAACCAATACGGATTTGTTATCCTATGAAAGAGCTAACTAATGCTAAATTAAACATCTCTCATGAACTGTTTTGTTGTGAATGGTGAGTCATGTACAGTAGATCTAAATCAGTAGTAGTAGTATAACAAAACTTTCCTTTGCCTGCCACATGCACAAACATCCTAAGAGACTGTTGTGTGTATATTAAAGTAGTAAACACCTGCCCAGGCTGAAAAAGAGTACACAAAGTGTTCAATTACAACAACAATGCAGCGTAAATCCCCACACAGGACATGAAGTTATAGTATTACTGTAGAGTACCGCAAGTCTTTGTACCACTTTCTCGCCAGCTACATTTCTGTTTACTCATCCACTGTTGGTTACTTACATGCCAGGCGCTTGTTGTGGTTGGTTGACCCGGTAGACGACATGATCCAGTGGACGTGGGACTGGTTGAACAGAGCGTTTTGCCTTTGAGTGTGTGTGTCTGTGTGGATTTTTCTTGTCCCCCCACCTCCTGTCAAGGCTCCAGGACAGGATGCTGGTGTGTGTAGTGGCTGGTCATCTAGTCATTGCATCTCTTGACTTTGGCACCAGGACTGTTAAAGATAGTACGTTCACATTTACACTTTATCTCCCTCTTCTCTTCTCTTCTCTTCTCTTCTCTTCTCTTCTCTTCTCTTCTCTTTCCTCCACTCTGCCTTTTTTGCTGTGTTCACTGTCTCCCTCCCCCCCTTTTCTGATCTCCTTTGCTGTTCTTTCGAGGTTTTCCCTCTCAATGCTTCACACTCTCATCTCGGCTGCCTCTCTGTGTTTCTCACACACACATAGACACACACGCGCGCTGTCTTTGCTCTCTCTGTCAGACAGGCTCAGTAGGGTTGTAGGGAGCTGTGCAGCTTAGGGAAGGGGGGAGAGTGATAGTGGGCTACGGCATTGTGGCCTGTACCAAGTGGTGACGACAAGGGGGTCAGCAGGATCAGGAAGTGTACAGGCTTTTTACATAATACTGAGGAATGTACCAGGATTAAACCCCTCCTGTCTCAACCATCACTGCTTTACATGTTTTTTACTTATTCACTGGGTAGGATGAAAGCTTCAGAAGTGAATTGTGATAATAGAAGAGGTGCTGCATGTTAATAAATCACCGCAGTCTCTCTCAGAATGAAATAATTCAGATATTTACAGCACTGACTATCACATTTCATACCATTTTCCAATGATGTATGCCAGGTATATATGGTTTAAGCAGTGGCCTTATTACAGAGTACTCTAGGAATTTATTATTGCACTTCCATATTGAAGGAGACAGTTTAAAATACAGTCTCTACAGTCATGCTAGCCACTCTGTGAGGCTGCACTTAGGCACAGCAGTGCTTTGAGCTAAATGCTAACACAGCCATGCTAACATGCTCTCAGCAGGCTCTCAGGAAAGCAGCTCAGCATTGTAATAAGTTTTTCCCAGTGATCACAACAAAAAAATTCTTTGCAGCCCAAGACACATTTTTCCCACAGACCACCATTGTAAAATACAAAGAAGGATTAGGGCCATGTTAAAGAAAAAAAAAAATCTTAAATTCCCAGAACAAAGTCATAAATTAGATAACGAACGGAAAGTTGGGTAACATGGTATAAAAAGTGTGTGCAAACAGTGTTGATGGTGACAGTAATATGCGTTTTAGCTGTACTGAAGTAATGTGTTACTAACAGGATTTCAGGTCATATTAATACATTTACAATGTCACGTAACGCATTACCACCTAGAAACTGTTTATTGTTTCATTTTTCATTAATCCACATCGCTCCACTTCTGCCAGTGCGCCACCAGAGACAATATCATCCGAAGGTTGTTGTGTCATATTATGATTAGGGATGGACCGATATGGATTTTTTAGGGCCGATGCCGATACCGATTTTTTTCCATCCTCCTCCTTTCCTTAGCCGATGACCGATTATGGACTGCCGATTTTCTTGAGCCGATATTTGGGGCCAATACTGCTTTTGCTCCCTCAATTTACATCACAAAAATGACACAATGATAACAAATATTACAGGTCTCAAGTTTAAAATAAGAAACATTTATTGAACAGTAAAAAATACTAAAACAAGATGGAAAGTTGAGGTAGAACAGGTAGAATATCATTATTATTATTATTATACATTCAAATAAAAAAAAGAGTTCAGTGCTCTTAAATCTTCCAGTAATGTCTTTATAAAATAAACAAATATTTAAGCTGAAGCATAAATAAAACAACTACTGTACACAGTAGGATTCGCTGCATGTGCGCTGCAGGGTCTTCCGGCAACACAGAGCTGCCCGTGGATGCCTGTCTGTAAATCATGCCAGGGAAAAATAAATTCGCGAACCCATGCGCGTATTGGCCGATGCCGATACAAGTAAAAAACTCAGATATCAGCCCGATATATCGGCCGGCCGATGTATCGGTCTATCCTTAATTATGATTTACATTACAGAAGGGTGTCGCCAGTGATCGCACATCTGGGTCACGCTGCACTGTGCGTTATCATGTTCGGTGTGTTTTCATTCTTATACCTACAATGCATCCCGTTGTGCTTTGCATCAGTTTATGACTTCATTCTCGAAATCTATGAATATTTTTTTCTTGAACATAGCCCTAATCCTCCTGTTGACAGGACACCTCCATCTGCATACAGGGTCAATTATGAATCGTTTTATTCTGAATTGTTGCGCTATAATTTTATATCTGTTAACCTTTCCTTGAGCTAGAAAAGAGATTTCAAAATCTGTGACATCATCACAATGTATTGTCTATGAGCCGAGCAGAAACTTGCAGGACCAGCAAGAGAAGCACTACTGCCCATATTCATTACGCAAGTGAACCAGGCATCTAAAAAACTTTGTTGGCCTATGCGCCAAGCAAGCAACTTCACTGGAATGAACAGGCGCCATCTTGGCATCTGGGGCTGGTTGCACAAAGCACTTGTAGTTTGCTCCCTAAGTAATACACAAAAGGCTTACATGAAAGTCCTCGCCAATAACTGACTGGAAAGATCTCGCTGCATAAAAACCGCAGTGCAATCATTAATTTTAAAGGGCTGGAATAAATGTATAGTGCAAAATCAATTGCTCATCATTAAGCATGTCCATCGGGTCCTCCTGGTTGTGAAACACTCCTCTCAGGATGCCTTTATTTTTTTCATTTATCTCCATAAACTCAGCCATGTTGCGGTTAAGATGGAGTCAAAGGCACTTTATGTTTTTGTCTTTTGATCACTAAGGTTCTGTGTGGGTTAAATGAACTTTAAGCAACTCCTAGAGTATAAAACCAAGATTAGGAGAAAAACGTATAGCCTTAAGTAAACACTTTAAGGAAAACGTAAGGAGAAGACTGAAGGATGTTTTGTGCAACAGATTTTAATTCAAGGAAACCTTAACTTGGACTTTAAGGAAAATCGTCACCTAAGGTGCTTTGTGCAACCGGCCCCTGGTAACTAGTCGTCATTATTAAAATCTATGACTCACAGTGTCAATGCTAACATGCAAATACAGGTATAATGTCAACCATGTTTACTATCTTAGTTTAATGTGTTAGCATGCTAGCCATGCTATTTGCTAATTACCACTAAATACAAAGCACAGCTGAGGCTGATGGGAATGTTATTTGATTTGCAGATTTGGGCAAATTGACGTTTTTTTCCTGTTGATGGCGCCAGACTAAAAGTCAGGGGATCACCAATGTTTATGCTTTTGGCTTCGGTGTAGACTTCAGGAGGGATGCAGGGGACATGTCCCACTCCATATTGTCTCCTGCCAATAAAACAAAAAAGTAGTCGAGGACTTTTATTTTGACAAAATTAGAGACATTTACATCATAAATAAATGCAGAAAAACAGAAAGTGGTGCATAAAAATTGACCAGCATGCAGGAAAGTAAATGTATGATGCTCAAAATTTTCTGGCGAACGACCCCCAACCCCCTATGTGACCTTCCAAATGTTCAAACAAAACATATGCATCTGGCGCTAGGGACCTTGACTTGCAACTTTTACAGCATTTTAAATGGTCAATACTGAAGCGACTTTTCAAAACTTCCTACAATCTATGTAATGTATCTTGGCCAAACAGTTTCTGTAATCTCACGTCCAAAACTCACTTAAACCACCAAAACACTTGTTTGACTGTAACACTAGCTACAGTTCTCATTTAGAAAGCATACACTATCGTATATAACATACTGATCTACAAAAACCACTAACATCACAAAACATTGCATAATTGATGAATTTTCATCTTTGAAGTTTGAATTATTTTTCATATAAATCAGTGTTTCCTTGCAGAATAAAAATAACACTACAAAAAAATTAATATATAATAAAACAAATCCAGAAATTCCAGGGCTTGTCTGTGCTGTCAATCCATCCAATTGCTGTTGAGACATTTCACCCTGGAACAAAGTGCTGGACACACCAACTCGTTATTGAGCCCCACTGCTATCCTACATCTCCTATAATCCAGCTCAGAAGCCACAGACATTACACAACTCTTCTCACAGGCTGAGTGGAATTTTCAGCGATGAGTAAACTGATTGATGAGTAACATCATTGAGGTTCCCCTTTAAACTGTTTTTAATTCACCTTTTATTTATGAATTGATTAATAATGGTACATTTTACGATCCCAGGTAGTGGAAAACCCATTTGCTGGTGTACAGTGAACTCTCGCCCAGCATTGCTTTGTCTTTTAAGTGAGCATGTGAATTCATTAGTAGGACCTGTCTAATGGACAGTGTGACCACTTAGCTTCTGGAAAAGAGCAGCAGAGCATCAGCACAACTCAGTAACATCTACATCTGCAGGCTTGACAGCTAATTAAAAGGTGAGAAACCCAGTGGCCTTTATTAATGACTTGACAACATTTAGACTTGTTGGCTTATTAGATACTCCGTCATTAATTACGTATTAATAGCAGCAGAAGGTCTCTCCTGGTTCCTGATGTTTCCACCTGTCATCCTTTGCACTGTAAGTTTGCAGAGATTTGTGGTTGCACATTATTTGGAAAATTCAATTCTTTCCTGTTCGCACAACTGATCTTCTTGCAGTGTTTGTTAAAGAAGTCTCTTGATGCAAGCGTGAACAACAGCATACAGAAGCATGCACTGTACTAACATGCAATTAAGCACACACACACGCTAATACACCATTAAAGGTGCACATATCGCCACAAATACACACACTGCTGCAAATGCACATTGTAACAGTCACATATGGGGGAGCTAATAGGCAGTTAGCAGCATAGATTCTTGCAGGTTCTGACTCCCTCTTCCCTAATAAGAGGCTTCTAACAGCCAGTTACATCACACTTCAGCTGGAGGAGGCTGCTCCAGTCTAACCACATGTCATGGAAAACTCATCACAGACTACGTGAGGAGATAAAGAAATACAATATGAAATGCTGTTCTGTTCTGCTTCCTTTCTATGGTCATCTGTGATCTCATACGCCTTTCGACATCTGATTGCACTGTTGAGTATATTACAGTAAATCTCAAAGGCTCCTGAGCTTTGCCTCATTGGTGAGTCAACAGTGGCATCTGCTGGTGAAGATTGTGTATTACACTTTAGCTCACATTAAAGGAGCACCTGCTGTGTGCAGTTCACTACACAAGCACAACAATTCCCTCAACAAACAACAACAACAAAAAGGCTCCACTTTTGTAAGTGAAATGCGGTAAATAAGAATCATTAATACTCTGTAACAGTATCATGAAAGTCAAGTATTTTTCAGTTTGCTGTCCTTGACTAGCAACCGATCAAGTGTGTGCTTTTGATGAGACGTTTCTTCGGTAAATGAAACAGAATCACATTTCAGAAATTGTATTTCAGGTTTCATATACTCCCAGGTTTAATTCATTC